GCTGATTTAAAATCCAACAATCAAATAATTCCTAGATTTATTTTCATAATTTTCACGACTCGCACATGCACGTGATGTCCCCAGTGCAGCAGACAAGCTTGGAATATGGAAAAGCTTACATTCAGCAGATAGAAATATTGCATTATATTGATTTTGTCAGGAAAAAAGATGATCTGAACACTGTTGTGTACATTGTGGCTTTACTTTACTCTGGCATTACATACCACCCACATCCCTCTGATCAGCATGTGGCACATTATATTACTATATTTAAAAATATTTTTGGAAAATTAAACAAAGTTTCTTACAAACTTATGTGATTTGATAAAATACATAGTGAAATATAATCGTATATTACAAAGAAATTACAATTAGCTTCAAGCTACACATGACAATTAATGAGATTAATACACTTCTACTTGAATGTCAATATCAATCACTAGACTTTTATGTGGAAGATACACAGTTACAACTTCTGTCGGGGCGTGAAGAAAAAGTAATGTAAGAGAGTAATACGCCAGAAAGTAATAAGTAAAGTAACAATATTACTTTTGAAATGAGTAACTAGTAATGAGTAATATATTACATTCTTTGAGTAACTAGCCCAAAAATGATAGTTAATGAATGTTAACAAATGAAACCTTATTATAAAGTGTTACCCGATTTCTGAGAGGCTATCAATAGAAAGCTAGCTTTGAAAGCATAAGATCCCACCCTCCCTGGAAAGCACTCTCCAAAGTCACGCCTCATCCAAAACACATAAACGCGCACAGGCAGACAAGAGGCTAACCAACGACATGATGAGAGAGTTAGTGGAGGGTTGAATGCAATGCTGTCAGATCACATGTGAGAAAACATTACAGTACAAAGTGCATATTACAATAATAACACCTTCCATTCTCGCTCGGTCTGCAAGTCTTAAGGTGCGTCCCAAATCGCGTACTTATGCACTATTCTATTACGTTTTGTAGTATAATAGTGCGAGTAGTGCATTCACACTGAAAATTCCAAAAAGAAAAAGTGCACTTTAAATACTCGGACGATGAACTTAAATACCGGGAAAAAAACAGTGTGGAAAGTTGGACACTTCATGAACTCAACTGTCGCAGCTTTAATTATGTAGTGAAGGGGGAGTGGCTATCAGACTCCAATTATGAATGACAAAATAACCTTTTATAAGTCATACACTACATGATTGAGTACATAGCGCATAAGTACAGAGTGTATAAGTGCATAGTGCATCATTTGGGACGCAGCTTTAGACTTTCAACCAGCATAACAAAAAAATGTTTTTAACCAAATCACCTACCCTTTCTTTAATATTAAAAAGGTCATGTAATGAGGAATCAGGTATTTCATTAGGGTTTGATCATTAAATATTTTTAGATAATTTCTGCAAGTATACATTCTGAAAGTTTTCAAAAACTGACACAGAAACCTTGAACTATAGTCAGTAATGGAGTCATTCTCAATATTTGGCTTGGTCTTAAAGCCAATTATTACATTAACTGTGTGGAGACGTGCTGATATCGTCTCGTTCTGTATCGCGTATCTTGTCAGTGTCTGCGCTTGCGGTCGCGTGAAGGCCTCCTCGTGTGAAGACCGAAGAGTGTAAAGACCATCGACTCTAACGTGCGACTCCACTGGGCAGGGACACCGGCAAAGGATAAGTATCGCTTTTTTATTTCTCCTCTTTCCTACTACTTGTTTCGCTTCCGTTTCAGTTTTTATAACCATTTCTTACTATGTGTAAGTAAGTTGTTGTTTTTTAGCATGTGTATTTGGCAGTGTTATTTTTTTAGGATTACTGATAAACTACTGTCATTTGATTTGTATTATTTGTATTTGTTATTTATTTAAATTTTAGTTAAATTATGTCTGAATTTATTATGTCTGTTTAGGTCTTTTATTAAGTGTTTAATTTTATTTCATTTGAATACTTCAACAAACTAAATGGAAATGAAATAATATATATATATTGAATTTATAAATGTGTATGTACATTATATATATATATATATATGTATATATATGTATGTGTGTGTGTGTGTGTTTTTGGTGTTTGGCTTAGTGTTATGTTAGAATCATTATTATACTCTTATACCTTTTGTTCTTTAATATTTTTAATTGTTTTTAGCTTTATTTTGTGTTTTTCATTTCAATGTTAAGTTTTGAAATTTTGTTGTATGCATTTGTAATTTTTATTTAATTTCTTTATTTTTTTTAATGTGTATAGGTAGTATTTATAAAGTTTTAGCTTTTAGTTTTAGATCTGTTTTTAGTTGTTTTAATACTACAATTGATTGCTTCTGTTGTCCTCATTTGTAAGTCGCTTTGGATAAAAGCGTCTGATAAATGACTAAATAAATAAATAAATAAATAAATCACACTGCAAGAGGAACAGCGTGAGCACAGACACAGGCTTATGCTCTGACAGAACTGGTGAGTTGTGTACTGCATCCATAAGTTAAAGTTGTTTATGTGCACATAAATGAACCTTTTTTGCTTAAAACAAAAGGAATCCAGTTTAATTATTATTCATGACCATATAGTCATGATGTCGTTGCAAAAATATAAAATGAAGCAACATCATGAATATTGTCACAACTTTAATGCTTTTTTTCCCCGAAGGCTGTGTCACTATCTTGCGACTCATGAGTATGAGAGTGTACAGATGTTTTAAAAGCAGCTTATATAAAAATAAAAAGCATAAAGAGTAGATAGAATAGAAATAGATGAGAGAGCTAGTGTTATTGGGTCAAGTTATAATTATTTTATTTTAATAAATAAAGAGAAAACAAGTAGATAGAATAGAAAAAGAATAGAGAACGCTAGTATTAGAGGGACAAGATTATTTTTTAATAAATAAAAAGAAAAGTAGATGGAATAGAAAAATAATGGAGAGTGCTAGTGTTAGAGGGTCAAGTATTTTATATACCGTATAATAAATTAAATAAATTTG